CCGGTGCCGCTCCAGGTCGGAGCGCTGGATGAAGCCCTTGCCGCAGTCGCCGCAGCGGTGCGGCCGCTCGCCGGTGTGGATGCGCCGGTGCTGCGCCAGGTTGGAGCCGCGGCTGAAGCCCTTGCCGCAGTCGCCGCAGCGGTGCGGCTTCTCCGGCGCCGCGCCGCCGCGCTCTGGCGGGCGTCGGCGGCGCCGGCCGCAGTCGGAGCAGCGCCGGGGCTGGGCCGCGCTCTTGCCGCACTCGGAGCCGCCGGCGGCGCCCGTTCGGCTCTTCCCGGCACACGGAGCGTCGGGATCGGTCGGTGCCGGAGGCGGCGGCGGCGGCTCCCGGGCGGCCGCAGCGGTGGGATCCTCCTCGGAGCCGCTACCGGCGCCTGCACGGGGGCGGGAGAACCGGAATTGCGCCCAAACCCTTCCAGGATTCCATGGGTGGGGTCGGCGTTGGGCCATGGACCCCAGCCACGGATCCGCCGACCCAAAAATTCCGAAAAAATATCCAAAATTTTCCATGGAATCCCACGGGTTGGGTTGGCCTTGGCCCGGTTGACAGCCAAACCTTCTTCTCCACCCAAAACCTCCCAAAATTCCCAAAAACCTACAAGATCTTCCAAAAATTCCATTTTACGCAACCTCAACCCCGTTTCTTTGGGAACTTTTAGGGAAAAACCTCAAAACTCAGCCCCATCTTTGCCCATTCCCAAAAAAGCCTACAAGATCTTCCAAAAATTCCATTTTGGACACCCCCAACCCCGTTTCTTTGGGAATTTTTAGGGAAAAACCTCAAAACTCAGCCCCATCTTTGCCCATTCCCGAAAAAACCCACAAGATCTTCCAAAAATTCCATTTTGGACACCCCCAACCCCGTTTCTTCAGGAATTTTTAGGGAAAAGCCCCCAGCCTCACCCCCATCTCTGGCCGGTCTGCGGCGGTTCCGGCGTTTTCCGGCCTGGCCCTGCTCCCGCACCAATTCCCGCAGGATTTTCTCCACGCGGCTCCTCCCGGCCGTCTGCAGGATCCGTCCCAGCTGCCGGCGCAGCTCCGGCTCCGCCGCCGCCCCGTCGCCCGCGAGCTCCGGCGGCGCCGGGCAGGGCTGGGGCTCGTCCCCCTCCGCTTCGGCCGCTGGAGAGGGGAAAAAACGGGAAAAAACGCCGGGATTTGGGGAATTCCCCGAAATCTGAGAGGATCTGGGCGGGGTTTACAGGGGGATTCCGGAAAATCCCCAAAGATTTTGGAGGAATTCCTGAAAATACCAAAAGATTTTGGAGGAATTCCTGAAAAATCCCAAAGATTTTGGAGGAATTCCTGAAATGCCCAAAGATTTTGGAGGAATTCCTGAAAATTCCCGGAGATTTTGTCCAATTTTAAGGACAATCCCTGAAAATTCCGAAGATTTTGTGGGGAGGGGGATGCCTGAAAATTACAAGTATTTTGGTGGGATTTTAAGGGAAATTCCCGAAAATCCCGGAAGTTTTCAAGGGAAATTCCCGAAAATCCCTGGACTCACCGGCGCCCAGGCCGCGTCTCCGGTGCGATTCGGCGAAGGCGGTGATCCGCGGCCAGCTGATGGCGATCTCCTCGGCTGCCGGGGCAAAAAACGGGAATTCGGGGAATGCAGGGAATTTCCAGAGGTCATTTTCCCAGCCCGGCTCCGTTTCGGGGTGAAATCCGCAAATTTCGGGCAAATTTTGGTGATTTTTAAGAGAAAAAAACGTTCCAGGGAAACTGAGGCAGCCAAATCCCAGCTGGAATTTTGGGGGCTCAAAGATTCCGAATTTTTTTGGGGTATTGCCACTGGGAATTCCCCAAAAAAAAATCCAAAATGTTGTCAAATTTATGCCTTGGGCAATGCTCAACATTTTTCCCAAAATTCCCTCAAATTCTCCCCTTGGGGCTCCCAAAAAATTCCCAAATTTGTGCCTTAAGGAATTCACAAAATTCCTACCCCAAAACCTATTAAAAATATTTTCAAATATGAAAACTATTTAAAATATTAATAATAAAATTAAAATATAAAACTATCAAAATGAAAATGATTAACATTAAAATGAGCATTAAAAATATTAATAATAAAGATTAAAATATTAAATTTCAAAATATTAAAATAAATATTTAAAAAGTTAAAATATTTCCCAAAAAAAATCCCAACATTTCCCCCCCAAAAAAATCTCAAAATTCCCCCCAAAAAATCCCAAAATTTCCCCCCCAAAATTCTCCACTAAGAATTCCCCAAAAATTCCCAAAATTCCTGGATTTCGGGGTGCTCTTACCCAAGGAAATGACGTTCTCGTAGTTCTCCTGCATCTCCCCCAGAGTCCCAAATCCAAATTCTGAAAAATCCCAAAAATCCCCTTCAGGATCCCAAAATCCCAAATTTTGTGGCTTTTTCGGGGGCTGCTTCCCCATTTCTGGGGGGAATTTTGGGGTTATTTAGGGGAAATCTGGGAGAATTTTGGGATTATTTGGGGGAAATTTGGGGTGGATTTGGGAGAATTTTGGGGGTTATTTTGAAATCACTTTGGGGGCATTTTAGGGGAAATTTTGGGGTACTTTTCTGAGAATTTTGGGGTAATTTTGGGATTATTTGGGGGCATTTTAGGGAGGTTGTGTGGGGAATTTGGGGGTAATTTTAGGATGATTTGAGGAGGGATTTTGGGATCATTTCAGGACAATCTGGGGTGGGTTTTGGGGTGATTTTGGGACAATTTGGGCTGGATTTGGGGGGAATTTGGGATTTGCCGGTCCCTGCTGGGAGAGGGGGATCAGCGCGGGGTCCCCCCGGTCGGGGGATCCCGATCCCGAATCCGAATCCGATCCCAGAATCCCGACCCGGTTCGAATCCCGATGCCGAATCCGATCCCAATTCCAATCCCGTTCCCGGTCCCGGTCCCGTTCCCAGTCCCAGTCCCGGTCCCGTTCCCGGTCCCAGTCCCAGTCCCAGTCCCAGTCCCGTTCCCGGTCCCAGATCCCAGTCCCGTTCCCAGTCCCAGTCCCGTTCCCAGT